TTTATTTTATTTTATTCCTATTTTTATAGATAATAGAAATAAAATCGCATATTTTAATACTATTTTCCAGAGCCTCAGAGAAAAAATAGGTTTAAAATAGCCTATTTAAATTCTATTTTACTTCACCAGTTAGAAATTAAAATAGATATAAAATATATTATTTTTAAACTCATAAAATAAAATAGGCTGTTTAAATCCTATTTTACATTGGAAGTTAAATGCACAAATTTCAAACAGGAATAAAATATACTATTTTAATCCTATCTTTCTTTCATAGTTAGCAAAATAACAATAAAATAGACTATTTTAAACATATTTTGCACGTGCAGAATATTACATGAATTAAAATAGATATAAAATATAGTATTTTAAAGCTATTTATTTTTCAGAATACGCAAAACAGAATAAAATAGACTATTTTAAACCTATTGCACATTTTTAAAACTGCCACATTTTTCAAATAGGGATAAAATATACTATTTTAAACCTATTTACTTTCCCTAATTTGCAAAATATAATAAAATACACTATTTTAATCCTATTTTACATTTACCGGGATTCCGGATTACAATTTGCAGATATGTATAAAATAGTCTATTTAAATTAAACATACTGAATTTTCCTACTTAGCAAAATGAAATAAAATAGAACCGTATTTTACATTTACACAGATAAGGGACCAATCATTAATAATGGAAGGGGGTGAGGAGCGGAGGGTGAGAAAAGGAGGAGGCTTCAACTATTGCGTACAGCGTCATCCCCACTGGTCATCCCATGCAGTGCTTCCACTTGCAAGGAAATTTCTTTGCAAAAAGAAATAAAATTTACTAGGAAACGGCAAGGAATTTTGTTTTCAACAAGGAAATAAGGATATTATGTTATTTCTAATAAATCCTAAGATTATAGCAAATCCCAAGCAAATTCGCGTCAGGAAATGTCGAAAATCCAAATCCTACTTCTGGGGAATGGAAAATCTGAAAAATTTCTGAGGCGTGACCTCAAGCCTCCTGTTGCAGTTTTTTATAATTAATTTATAATTTATAATTGCAACGTTCATGGTGTTTCTCACCCGAGAAATACACCGTCATTCAGGATAAATTATTGTAATATCAGTTTTAAACTAGGTAAAATTCATCTTCATCAAAGGAATTTTTGTCAAAAATAAGGAAATTTTGAGCAGTTGGGAAGGAAATGATTTTTTTGAAAGTGGAAGTGGAAGCACTGAATTTACACCCCGCCATTTTTTATAATCAGTTCGTGATTTCGAAGTTACAATATTTCGCTCGATATTTCGAGCCGATGAAGCCTTATTAACCGTGAATAAGCGAAGATGAAACATCAGGGATGATTGAGTAATATCCAGGTAAGAATCTTGTTATGTTTTATGTATAATAGAGCAATTTTGAAAGGAAATATTTGCTATCTTCATTCGTGAATTTTGAGAATGCACGTGTTTGATGACCTTTGATGTTTCGGCTTAAAATTTGAATTTGCCGAGCCGATGAAGCCTTAATAAGCGAAGATGAAACATCAGGGATGACTGAGTAATATCCAGCTAAGAATCTTGTTATGTTTTATGTATAATAGAGCAATTTTGAAAGGAAATATTTTCTACTTCAATCTTCATTCGTGAATTTTGAGAATGCACGTGCTTGATGTTTCGGGTTAAAATTTGAATTTGCCTCGACAATATTTAAAACGATGATATAAAACATTAGTTTAATTCAAAGCTTACATTTGACTCCTGAAGTCTTTATAGTAAATTATGTTTATTGTAACTAATGCCAAATAGTTAATAGTTGTGTATTTCCAGATTCCAGTGACAGTGTTTCTTGTGTCAAAATTAAATAATATATTATAGCTTGGCATCTACTCAAGTTTCAATCCTCAATTCTTTATATGCTTATAAATACCTAGGCATATCCCAGCTAAATGTGCATGTCTCAGAGTTACATAATAGTCATAGAATAAAAGTTATTCTGAATAAGGAGTGCATTATATAATAATATAGTAATTAACACACAATTTATAAAAACTGTATGTTTTGAATCAAATATGATTCACCTTCAGCAGTGTTTCACAAGATATGTCGTTATATTTGCAAGACATGCCGTTATATTATCTTCTACTTATATCTATCTATAGTATATTTGCTGAAATTATCAGCCGGAAAAGGATGTCTCATGCACTTTACCATTATAGCACTTATATACCCTACTTTAATGTTTTTTTCACCCTCAGTCTAACACCAGGTATTAGTTGCGTCAAAGCTGGATTCTTTCAGTGCTGTTTGATTTTACCATGTCTAACATTTGAGGGTAATAGTACAATGTACTAGGATATCAATGGAATGGGGTATAGAGGGTTAATTTCCTTTGTATGCCATGCTTGAAGTTTTTAATGCTGGGTGGGTCGGTTAATAGTTAAAATGTCAATTTGATCAATTTGTTGTGTGGCAAATTGATTATGGAAGTGCCCTAACTGGAAACAGTCAAAGTCCTTTGTTTGCTTGTTCAAAGTTTATAATATATATATATATATATATATATATATATATATATATATATATATATATATATATATATATATATATATATATATATATATATATATATGTATATATAATTATATATATATATATATATATATATATATCTTTATGAATACATTTATCTATACCACCTGCATGATCTGCTTAATAATATATGTAACAACCTTTGGGCTGCATTTTATATATCTTTAGAGACAACCCGGCAAGTCACGACAAGAGTGAAATTACCCATTTCACTCCGAAGTGCCCAATTTTCAGCAGGTTGTTAATATTTAAATGTTTCTATATCTTGCCTAATGTTGAACAATTTTATTTGCCAAGGAAAGTGTCCAGCTAGACTCATGATGTTTCATGCCTATGATGTTTCATGCTGACATATTTAGATGTAATTTTCCTTAACACTCCCTTTTTAATTTCTGCACACAATATTTAACTGTGTGATCTCAAGCTAGACAATTTTGCTTATCGACTGTGGTCTGCTTGCCCATTTTTCACCTTTTAATACTGACAATTAAGCTGACATGTATTGGCAATAACTGCTTGATCTGCAAGATGCTTGGTGGAATGGGTCTAACTGCTAGTAGACTACTAGACTGCTCATCCTGCAATTGATTTGAAACCCAATCGTGTAATAGATTCCTTACAGTTACTCAAACGTTGGTAACTCTGACTGTGGTAAACAATGCCATTGATTCGACACTGCTTAAACTGCCACATTCAGCCAGGCTGCCGCTGTTAAACTGCCACAACCTAGCATTGACAGCTAATAAGAAAACAAACTGTTGTATGTGTATTATTTTATACAATCATGTTTTAAACGATAATATACCTGTCAACCATGGTACTGCATTGCTAGTTTTCAGCTAATTTGATATTATTTCATTACTATTTTTTAACTGGTTTTAATTATCATACTACAATTTTACTACTTTATAAAGTAACTATGTTGCAGTGCTACTATTTTTATATACTATTAGGTATTTTATTGTTATTCTATAGCTATTTTGTTGCTGACATTCTGACTATTTTATTGCTATTTTATGACTATTTTACTATTCTTTTATTGCTATTTTATAACTATTTTATTACTACTTTCTGACTATTTTATAACTATTTTATTAATCATTTTAGAACTGTTATAACTCTCGACTATTTTATTACAATTTTATTACTATTTTTATACTATTTTATAAGAATTTTGAACTATTTTTTTACTATTTTGTTCGCTATTTTATCACTATTTTAAATTCTACTATTTTATTACTATTTTATCAGTATTTTATTCATATTTTTAAACTATTTTATTACTATTTTTGCAATAATTTTATTACTATTTTTAGTTAATTTAATATACTGCAGTTGATCCACTATTTTATGTGTATTTTCGACTATTTTTAACCTATTTTATGTATATTTAAAATCTATTTTATTACCAATGTTTCACTTACTTTATTATTCTATTTTCATTTTGCACTCTATTTTAAATATATTTTATCCTATTTTAAACCTATTTTAATCTGTGCTTCATCGATTCAGAAAAATAAAATCTATTTAAAATATAGGCTATTTTTTGTTTCAGAAAAACCTATTTATAATAGCTATAAAATACAATTAAAACAGAGTTCTAATAGGTTTAATATAGGATTTGTATATGTGATAGGGTTAAAAATAAAATAGCTTTTCTATAGGAATAAAATAGAAAGTAAAATAGGGATAAAATAGGGTTAAAATAGTGTTGATTTTCGCAAGGGAAGCCATTAAAACGATTTTTTAAAATTATTTGCGATTACATGCTGCCCGGACTGTGTCGACTTTCAGTCTGGGTACAAACCGGGCTGGTATTTTAGCCCGGGATGAAGCTTAAAATAATTGTTCATAGTTGTCAACTCTCAACACCTACAGTTGCTCAGCTTTCATTCGGTATCAGGATTTTCCGATGCGAGAACGTGGTTTTTAACCAAAGTGAGAAACGCCAAACGCGTTTCGAATTTTCCTCTGCAACGCGTTCCAACAGCATTCAAATCGTGTTCAAACCACGTTCCGACCGCGTTCGGAACGCAATCGCAGTGTTATGTTATTTCTGAGTAGTACTGTAGTACACGAAAACTCCTTCTATCTTCTAATGCCAGAAATGGATGAGCAGTCAACCTCGGATACACATCTTAGGTAAAGGGTGTGAACATCTCTTTATTGTTTTAGGGTGTATTTGAAAGGAACTGAATAAGTGATGATGTCAAGCAACCATATCCATCTCTTTGTTGTTGTCTTCATTAGTGTTTTTACAACAACAGCTGCTCAAGTGGAATGCCTAAATCCGGGTAATCAGCGAACTTCGAGTTATGAGGAGCAAGAAATGTGTTAACATACATGGGTATGATGGCTTGGGAGAAATTAACACGTTTCATTGCGACGGCTTTGATGACCAGCAAATAGTCATGCATGTGCGGAGATGGCTCGATACGAAATAAGAAATCTGGTAATAACTGTTTTACAGCAGGAACAAATGGAAAAGGTAAAGTTGGATCGTCTACATGCAAAGTGTATCCCAGTTTGCCTAGCTACCAAAAGTGGAGATATGGAAGATCAATAAGCTTCATCGACTCTTTTGGAATTCGACAGCAAGCAAAAGAAATCATTAACGTGAAATCTGGATTCTGTCTCAACGTCGCGGGTTATGATGGCACAGGTGACATGGATACACATCCTTGCGAAGACGAGACAGACCAGTACTTTTTTTTTTCGTTCCAAGGGGCAGCTGGTGACTCATGGAAGGATACAGGTTCAGGAATCTGGTCTTTGTCTTGATGTGCAAAGTGGGAGCTTAGGCCCACGTTTAGCAGATAATGTTCGAATATACAATTGTGAGGACAACCCAGATCAATATTTTGGTTTTTATGAAAATGGGGAAATTGTTAATGAAAAGTCCCGAATGTGCCTAAATGTTGCAGGATTCGATGGAAGAGGCAATATTGATATGTACGCATGTGACTATTTCGATGATCAACGTTGGTACCGACCTACTCAGCTTTGCGATGGAGACTATTGCTCTTTCCTCAACAAAAAGTCAGGAGACTGCTTAAACGTTCATGGAACGAAAGCCACAAGCAACTTAGACGTTTACTCCCATAGCTGTACCGGAGAACGAGATCAACGCTTTAAATTTGTTACCGGAACATGGGTTACACCAACTGCATCATGGTCCCTAGTAGGTTGCAATGAGAACGGAGAAGTCACTCAATCAATAAGCAACACAATCCGATATTCAAAATCAATCAGTGAAAGTACGGCAATTGAGATTGGCGCCGAAATCGAAGCTGGGTACGCGTTTGGTAGTGTCACAGTCAGTACCACTTTCTCATATTCTCTAGCACAGGAGTGGACGGAGAGCCAAGAACAGTCGGAAGAGATAACTTTTACTTGTCAAGTTTATGATAACGACCAACCGTTTTTGAGAGGATGCATGTGGCAGCTAAAACTTACAACTGAGGAAACGACCAACGACGATGAATTAGTGTGGAAGCCCCAGATTGTGAAATGCACAAGTGGTAATACAGCGCCAACGTGCCCTCCATTCACCAGATGCCAAGATACAGCATGCACGATGTGCGAAAGTACGGTGTTTGGGAAGATGAAGCGCAAACACAATGCTAAACGCAGCTTTTGGAAAAAGGTGTCGAAAACACTCAAGTCATGAAGCTAAATTGTTCACCATGCATGCAGTCGAAGTTATTCACGATATTTTGGTTTGTATAGCGCAGTAAAGCATGATAAAGCAGTTGTGACATTTAATTAGTGAGTTAATTAAGATTGTTTGTTAATTTACAGTAAGTACTTTTGAAACACCTAAGTTTCAAAGTATGACATATTAGGGGCCCATTCATTGATGATGTGTAGGAAAGAGGGTAGATAGAAAAAAGTATATTAATATTTTAATCCACCCTTGCGGTTGAGAAGGAAAATACATACCCCGCTTAAAGTGGCTCAATACAGTTTTTAAAAAAATGGAAAATTCACGATAAACAACACGTGCCTAACAAATATAAAGCAACATCTAAAGAGTTTGATTTTTTGCACAAAATGTACGCAACTGCCTTTGCTATGACAAGAATGACGTTTTAAGACGGCGGATATTTTGGGTATATTTACAAATTTTATTATCAATTATTTTCTCAATCCAGAAAAAATTCTGTGGAATCAAAAAAAAAATTATGAATAATCACCTTTACGTAATTAAAAAAAAAATTCGTGTCCAAAGAATTTTTTTAAATTGTCAAAATAATTGATTATATAGTAAATGATATCAATTTTATAAATAAAATTTGGAGTCACCGATGCCGTTTACGAGTTAAATTATTTTAAAGCCAAAATATCCACCATAATGAAACGTTATTGTTGCCATAGCAACGGAAATTACGTAACTTTTGTGCAAAAATGCAAACTCTTATGATGTTTTTTTTTATATACGTAAGGTACTTTTGTTTATGAACAAGTAATAATTGTCCAAAAATACGCATCTTAATCGTGAGTTTTCCATTTTTTAAAAACTCTACTGTACCTTTCCAAGTTAAATTTTCTATAAATTATTTTCGCACCCTCATCTTATTTTCAAACCAGTTCCCCCTGTGAATAATATAATAATAATAATGAACGGTCCCTTATATAGTATATATAATGTTGTATAGTATTTAGGGAGCACGGGTGGCAAAGCGGTTAGCGCACTGCCTCTTACCACTGAGTTTGGTTAGTCTGTTACTGAATGTCGAGAACATGGTGTTCAGTACTTCAGTTGAGCAACTTCCATTTGCTTATCATCTCGTGTAAGTAGAGATTTGGTTGGTTCTTCTGCCGTACTTGGGGGGTTTTTCTCCGGGTACTCCGGTTTCCCTCAACCAACTAAAAACTAATCGTTTTCCAATATAAGCATTTTAAACAAACTTGAATAACCATCCGGACTTTTGTCAGTTGCATGGGTTATTAAACCTGTTAAGGCTCTCCATCCACGTCAGAGTTGTATTAAACATGTTAAATAAGTGAAATTGTAAGAACTAAAATTTATAGAACTGCCTTGCAAAAATATAGTATTAAAAATAACACGACTTATATTCTGGCATGTTCATTGAGTTGATAAGTGCATCCTCGTATGTTTTAATTTCTTGCCAGTTTGTAAATCCATGTGTTCTTGCAGTAAAATACTCTCCAACTATGGAAGTAAATAATTGTTTGGACGAAAGCATTTTGGAAGAAAAAACAATGCATAGCTAGAATTTATTCACTGCAAAGATGAACCCAAAGCAACAACAATCAAATCATTGCTGATTTAAGTTGCTAGCGATACCATATTAAACTAGAGGGCATTCAGAGAGTGCCTCTCCTTAATCGCTGTTTGATATTTTTAATCTATATTAATGATTTTCCAAATTGCATGGATGGTGCTTCGACAAGCATGTTTGCTGATACTAATTTAACTACCACAGCCAGATCGACCTACGAATTAGAGGAAAATCTGAATAAATATTTGAACTGTCTACGTCAATCCGTAATTAGCAACAAATTGACCCTAAACAAAGATAAAACAGGATACATGATAATAGGCTTAAGAAGTAAACTAAATAGAATCGATCGGGATCCCATAATAAAACTAGCAAATACAAACATGAGAAATGTGTAAAACAAAACCTTAAGGATCGTTGTTGATGACCAGCTTTTATGGAATGAGCATATTGGCCGTATAATAAAAAACGTTTGTAAAGGATTAGGTATGCTAAGGCGACTTAAGCTGCTTGTGCCAAAATAAATTTTGATCACAGTACATAAGTTGTTGGTTCTTCCTTACCTTAATTATTGTAGCATGGTCTGGGATAATTGTAGTAGTTATTTGCTTCATAATAATTATGCAGAAAATACAAAATAGAGCTGCAAGAATAATTACGAGTAAACCATACAAGAACCGATCAAGAGACCTGTTGACAGAACTTGGTTGGCAAACACTTAAGGAAAGGAAAGATATCCAGAAAGCTACACTTATGTTTAATGTTAAAAATAAGGAAGTGCGGGAAAATATGGCTAATATGTTCAGATTATCTAATAATGATAGGTGTCAAGTCAGTGGTCTCTTTCAGGTGTATTTGGTCTATTTTGCTGGCTTAACAGAATTATGATTGGTTCATGTTTTGATGCCATCAAAGATACATTTCGATTGGCTGAAAGATAAGTGGTCATGAGATGTGCACGTGTACACTTTGCCAATACAAAGATGAACTTTGATATTTTAGTACAAGTGACAGCTGTGGGTCTGTGACCTTTGTACCGCACGCAAAATATTCAAATCAAAATATTAATATATTTATTTCATATAAATTGTCACATAATTTAGCTAAAGCCGAAGCCATAGGCTTATTTGGCAAACATATTTGAAAGTATAGCTCATGGTGGTCGGTACAAGCACAGTTAATAGAAATAGGATGGCTACGCTAGCGGCAAAACTTCAAAGCTGGCGGAGAATGATGTTGGGGATCAAAGGGAAAAAATATCACGTGACGAGATACGGGGGTGACATGAGTGACCTTTGCAGGCGAACACGAAGACGATTTTTCTGAGTGGCCATACGATCATTATGAAGATTCATTTAACTTTGAGGTATCTGTGGCTATTACCGAGGCTGAAACGGATGAGATGACTTCAGAGTTTTCTAATGCACTGAAGGAAATTGATGGTGAGAAATCCTTTCCTTGTAGTTTATGCGACAAAGTTTGCAAGTCGAAAGGTGGTTTGACACGACATACAAATTCAAAACACTCTGAGTGGTCTTCAGGAAGTCATCCTAAACCTAACCTTTGTAAAGACGATGTTGGTTCTTTTGTCAAAGCAATGAAAGACACAATTATAGAGGAGAAATTTTATGGTGCAGAAATAATTTCAGGATTGGATACAGTATGTTTTACTGAATCTTTGTTCCCTGCTTTGCTGCCAATCTACCAAACATTCTGTAGAAAAAGAATCAACACAAGCTTTTGGAATTATTTTATGGTTTAATCCCACGCTCATGTGAGCTACTGTCTGGTAAAGATTACAGAATACCCAACTTGATAATGATTCATCTCCCAGAACGTTTAATAATTTTTTTATAACAGCAGTAAAACCTTGGCCGAAAGCATGCCAAAGGAACAGGCACAACTTGTCCCAGTAGAGTATGGACCTCTCACCTGTGTTGCGGGGTATGTAATTGCAAAGCTCTACCAACAGAGTAGAACCAAAAAAGGAAAAAACAGCCAGCAGGTACAAAGATTATTACAGAGCATTAAAAGTTCAGAGCCCAACAACTACATTTCTGCTAGAACGAGAGGAGGCCTTATTACACCTTGCAGTGTCTTGGTAAAGATAGTAGAAATTGGAGAAATATGTTTCAGGAAACATGTTCACCAAAATGATACAGTTCTGAGAAATATTCCTCTTGAAACAATAGTAAACTTAACCCTAAACTCACCCATTGTTAAATCCTTGTGAGATAATATTGTGTCAACAGAAGGTCAACTGCCCAGTTCGACACAAAAATTGTGCTTGGAAAATATCATTAAACTGTATATAAGAGTTCGTTCATTTTCGTACGCTAGAGATTTGATCACTAAATATAATATAAAAGCAAAGCAGCTAAACAAGAAAGCCTTAAGGACAGATTTAAAGAGAAATTGATGCTGTCATCTTTACAATTGTAAATATTTCTCTGTATATATCATATGTATTAAATTGCTTTTATTATGATGTCTTGAAATAGAAATTCTCACACAATGAACCTTATTTGATTATAACATGACACGGGGGAATTAATTTTTTACCCATTCATTGCCCTCCCCTTGATGAGCAAAAATGTCTGGCAGTAAAATAACAAAGTAAGGTGCATTGGGTCATAATACCACGTAAAGTGTTAACAAGACACATAGGGAGATAGTATGATTGGTCCACTTAGTGCGAGCACATTCCCCAGTAGAACTTAAATTAAATGGCATAGGGTGCATTGGACACAATACTAGCTACTTAAGTTAAATTTCTCCAGCTCTGCCCAGCGGAGATTCATAAAAGCTATGGAGTAGAGTGATAACAAAGAATCTTTAATTAATTTAATTACTTTTTAATGTTGCAACTTCATTCATATGTGGTAAATGTTGTATTCACAATTTTACAAAACAGTATTGACATTTTCAACCCCAATCAATTGCAAGTCTTTCATTATATCTGAGACCAAATATTGATGGGTACTAAGAATTCAAAAAGTGAACAAGTGCTATTAATTGAATTTTTGTGGAAGATGCCATGATTAAATAATCATTGTGTTTTCAACAAACTAATTATATCACCATGCACACAACCTATTAAATACAATTAATTCCTGATAGTATCAATATTCATTAACTTTGACCACTGAGTCCGGCTACATACGCTGACAGGTATAACTCCATAGACAACAACACAATTAGTCATTTACAAAGTATCTCAACATCAGTTTTGCCTGTGGTTTTGCACATCTGAAGGAGCCAAATGTTATTTCAATTAATTAACATGCAAGGTTCTTCCTTGGTTAGTAAAAAAATTAGCAAATGTTCTACAGTACCCTGTGATGAGTAACATCTTCTGGCATTAGACAAAGTAAAAGAATATAGTAGAGGCGACTGCAGCTTAAAGCATTACACACCACACCAT